TATATATAAGCGATGTGAATATAATTATTTTAAATGTTGTTAGTTGATTAAATGATTCTCTAATGTGAGGATAATGACAAGTCATTACAAATTACAATCTTTTCAATAATCTATAAAAATATATAAAGAATACTTCCATTTGATTTAAGACATTTATATTTTTTTATTATATTTAATCTTTTTCTCACCAACATATTATCAAAGATAAAATAAAAATAAAAATTATAAAAAATAACTATTTAATCTGTACTTATTTAATTTTTCAACAAAGTCGCGAAAGGTCTTTTTCGTTGCCAATAACAATAATATTATGCAAGATAAATACTAATATTATTTCACTTTGACATAAAAATAAATACTGTAACAGTGCTATTTGCAATCTTAGGAGTTAGGACACATGGGCAGAAAAATATCTGGCCGCGCGCAGCCCTTAAACCTAGGCTAATGCAATGGGCTGACGATTGAAACCTAACCGATCTCTGCATTGACAAAGACCAAAAAGCCCTCTTTAAATATCACGAAAAGTTGAAAACCCTCGCCACTCTGCGAAATCCGTAAAGGGTAGTATCGTCCATTGGATCCCGTTCTGTGCCCTAGCAAGCCAACACCAACACGCGCGAGATCAGTATTATAGCGCAACAAGCAAAGAATCGGGCCCTCACAGCGGAATCAGTGTTTGCTTCTTCTCGCATATTCTTCCTCCTTCAGATTTGAGAGAGAAGAATAAGAGAATTGGATAAGACCTTTCGCTCTCGCTTTCGCTGAATTGATCCGAGAGATGGGAGTTCCAGCGTTCTACCGGTGGCTGGCGGAGAAGTATCCGATGGTCGTTGTGGACGCAATCGAAGAGGAACCGGTCGTCATCGAAGGTGTTCAAATCCCCGTCGATACGAGCAAGAAAAACCCTAACGACATCGAATACGATAACCTCTACCTCGACATGAACGGAATCATTCACCCGTGCTTCCATCCCGAGGATAGGGTAACGCTTCTCCTCATTCTCGCGAATTCCTCTTCGTAACGGTTTTATTTGTTTGTGTATTGTTACTGTTCGAATTTCGAGATTGTGAATTTGAACGTTTGTGCGTTTTTGGTTGCAGCCGTCTCCGACGTCGTTCGACGAGGTGTTTGAGTGCATGTTTGACTACATCGATAGGCTATTCGTCATGGTGCGGCCGCGGAAGCTGCTCTATATGGCTATTGGTGTGTGTGTGTTTCTTCGTTGTGATTGTTTTTACTTTGTAATTTGTAATTGTCATTGCGTCGTGTGTAATTAGTGAGGCTTATTTGGTTTGTTTGGTTCAATTTGTAGACGGTGTTGCGCCGAGGGCGAAAATGAACCAGCAACGGTCTAGGCGGTTTAGGGCTGCGAAAGATGCAGCTGATGCGGTATGTGTTGTGCTTATTTTTATTTCCATTCAGTAGGTGTTGTGCGGTTTTCGATGCGTTAGACTTCAGTAATTCGTGTTTCTTAGTATCTAGTAGAGAATTTTTATTTGTACGGGAAATTTTACGAGAGAGGAAATTGAGGAGTGTGAAAGGTGGTAAATGATGTAATATTGAGATTGGGAAAAGAAGTGTTGGTGTATAAAATGTTGTATTAACAAGACGTCTCTATCTAGCAATTGTTGCACTTTGTATGAACTTACACTGTTAGGCTGTTATCAACAATTCAGTTGAATCAATGTCATGACATACTAGTTGGTAATTGGAAGCTTGAACTGCACAGTTGTCTGATTACTGTTATATATTGAAATAGTGAATACTCTGGTCTTGGTCTGGAGTATTTATGCACTGCATTTTTTTCATCTCAGTTTTGTGGCTTACATCTACTGGTAAAATGTTTTTTTTTTGAAGTGGGAGATAGTCTTATGATAAATATAAGTTCTCTCATAACAACATTTGAGGTGAAAGTGGTGGTGTTTCTTACTTTCACCAATTCCTCTGTGATTAATGTTGTTGCTGTCTTACGATAATGAAATGTATATGAGCAACTTCCATCTGTCCAGAAAATGGTGAAATATTTGAAAACATGCCTAAATATTATTTTCCCACATTTCTCTTGTGTGATAGGCTGCCGAAGAAGCAAGGTTAAGGGAGGAATTTGAGAAGGAGGGCAGAAAGCTTCCTCCTAAAGAAGAGTCGCAAACTTTTGATTCAAATGTCATTACACCTGGAACTGAATTTATGGCTGTTTTGTCAATTGCACTTCAGTACTATGTACATCTTAGGTTGAACAATGACCCTGGTTGGCAAAATATTAAGGTAGAGAGTTCATTTTATTTAAATTTTGTGGCTGTGGCAAATTTGTCTTAGTGGAGGGGAGGATCTTAATGCTATGGTTTATGTTTGTGCCTCAAGGTTATTCTTTCTGATGCAAATGTTCCTGGTGAAGGGGAGCATAAGATTATGTCCTATATCCGCCTGCAGAGAAATCTTAAAGGTTATGATCCAAACACACGTCATTGCCTATATGGTTTGGTAAATATCTTACTTCCAACTTCCTATTACTCTTCAAAATTCAACTTCAATTTTTTTTTTCGAAAAAAGAAAATCCAACTTTTGATTTTTCACTGTGTCTTCTTTGCTTCATTTATCATGGATTATAAGTAACCTGTGCTTATCATTGGGTGTCTGATGACAGGATGCTGATTTGATTATGTTGGCATTGGCTACCCATGAAATCCATTTTTCAATTCTTAGAGAGGTTTGTGTGTAATGAGTTGTTCTTTGTCTCTGAATTGGAGTATATTAGCATAGTAAAATAATTACATGATGTTGATAGTGAAGAATGATTTTTGTAAATTTTATGCAATGTTTTTGGCTTCTTTCCATCAGACTCTGTGAGTGATAAAATTGTTGGTTGGGAAATTGCAGATTGTATTTACTCCTGGACAAGACAAATGCTTCCTCTGTGGTCAGATGGGTCACATGGCTGCAAACTGTGAAGGAAAGGCAAAAAGGAAGTCAGGAGAGTTTGATGAAAAAGGAGAGGCTATTGTGGCCAAAAAGCCCTACCAGGTCAGCGTTTATGATTTGAAATTCATGTGTCAAAGTTATCTTATATTGGATAATATATATATATATATGTGTGTGTGTGTGTGTGTGTGTGTGTAAGGAGGAATTCGTTTACTCCAAGAGTAAATCTACCTAGCTTACTCCGTTTAATAAGTCATATTCTTCATCAAATTTCAACAATGCAACCATTTAATTTAAAGTTTTTAATGCATAGATAAGTCTGCAAATTTTAAAAAAATTTGAAAAGCATTTAATTCGTTTCATTAATTCAAATCAACGTATAAATTTGATGTAGAACATGAGTTATTAAATAGAGTTAGTCTATGTAGACTTACTCTTGGAATAAATGGATCCCTCCCCCCTCTCTCTCTATATATAACAATTTAGTTTTGGCACTTTAGTCATTCATTCTCTCTTCCTTTTCTTTTCATTTGTAGTTTCTGAATATTTGGACTCTGAGGGAATATTTGGAGTATGAGATGAGAATACCTAATCCTCCTTTCGAGATTGATTTTGAATGCATTGTGGATGATTTTATCTTCATGTGTTTTTTTGTTGGAAACGATTTCCTACCACATATGCCTACACTAGAGATTCGTGAGGTATGTTATTCTATATCTCTTGTTTTCTCTCTCTCTCTCTCTCTCTCTCCCCCACAAACTTTCCCTCTTTTCTATTTTCTATATATTTGGTGAATCAAATTTCAGGACTGGTCTCTTATTTTCTAAGCATTAATTGTGGATTTTGTCCTTGACTGAAGCTAACTGGTATTGGACAAATATGGGAGCTGTTTTTTTCTTTCCCTTTTCCCCTTGTTTGGATTTTGGTCACTAATGTGAACAGTTTGGGTCAATATTGAACATTATGGATTTCTTTTATCTAAATACTAACAAGGAACTGACTATCAAGAAAGCATAAATTGTTAGATAGAACAAGGCAAAAGCACTTTAGGTTGTAGCATGGATAAAATATCAAACCCACTTTACCTTGCTCTGAAATTTAATTTAATGTAAAGCATGTGAGTTTTCATGCTGGATTTCATAGTCTTGAATTAGGAACAAACAACTATCCCAAAAACTCATGCTTTTAGATGGAGGCAAACCAATGTTGTAATATATGACACAAACTTTAGAAGTGAGCCTTCAGGCAAGTGCACACTTCTGTATGTGTCACTGAATCAAAACTCTTTTAAAATATATGGTATAGACTATGGATCAGTTTTCAAGGTTTTGCAAAAGTAGTAATGATTTTGAAATAACATCTGTTTGCTTTTTCACATATATTTGTTGAAAGATGTCTGCGAGTTTAGGTGGCCATTAATTTGCAGTGACCTAGCATTTTGTGAGGTCTGCTTTGCAGTCATGTTTGCCCAAGTTTGGAATTTGGATTTCATGTGACAAGCCATAGGATGTTATCATATGAATATGATCTTTCAAATGGGTTTTCTGGTACAATCATAGAGAATGTAATCTGTGTTTCTAACTGGTTGTTTTATTTGAGTTAATTGATTAAGACAATACACACACACATATATATCCTCCCACGTCTCTAAATTTTTCTCTAAATTTCAGGGATGGTCTTGATGTTGAGGCAGAAGGAAGCCATAATCTTTAGCATTATCTTTAATTTCTTAATTTTTGACATATGGAAGTAATTATGTTGTGATGATATTGGCTGTGGTTTGATGTTTTATATGCTGTATTAGGTTATGTAACTGATGTATTTGTTGGAAATCTCATTTTTTAAAATTTTTATATAGGGTGCAATTAACTTGCTGATAGCAGTATACAAGAAGGAATTTAGGGAATTGGGTGGTTATTTAACCAATGGATGCACGGTAGGTGATGGTAACATGGGGTGATTTGTTTGATATGCTGTGCCACTTTTCTTCTGGATAATGTTTGTTTATGATTTGTCTTTTTCTTTCCCTTTTTTTTCAGCCAAATTTGAGCAGGATAGAGCACTTCATTCAAGCTGTCGGATTTTATGAAGATAAAATTTTCCAGAAAAGAGCTCGATTGCATCAGGTCTGTTGAGCTTGGAATATTATACCATTATTCATGTTTGCTTTGATTGATGGTCAAGTACTATAAATATTATAATATTAAGGTCTCAAGAGAACTATGCAAAGAACCCTGAGGCATTGGTATGCAAACATATACTATTGTCAAGTTTGTCTGACCGTGTGATAAGGATGTTTAAATTATTCAGATATTTTTCATGCATGTTGAATTGCAAGACTCTATGGTTTGTTGGTACATAAATTGTTTTTCAATATTTCCTGTTATCATTGTGTCAAGTTGCATCACTTTCCCCTTTGTGGGTACTGGGTAGATAGAGAGAGATCATCAATTTGTGCCCGTTGGCAGTGTGTGTATGTCACACTATTGATGATGTATGACTGTTCAATTTTTGTCATAATTTAGAGCCATGTAGTATACAGGGGGCATTTTTGAAAGAGTGAGATAGTAAAAATTTATACTTCTGCATAGTTTTTCTTCCTAGAGAGATGTTTGACTCTGTTCTGAAGTGATCATTTTGTATTTATTATTCTGCCTTCAGCGACAAACGGAGAGAATAAAGCGGGAAAAGGCACAGGCAAGAAGGGGAGACGATGTTGAGCCTCAATTTCAACCAGAGTCTTTGGTTGCAGTTTCACGATTCCATGGTTCTCGTCTTGCTTCTGCTCCAACTCCTTCACCATTTCAACAATCCGGGCATTATAATTCTCAAGTGTCCTCATCAGTTAGAAAAGACAATAAAGAAGCCTTTGAGAGGCCTGGTAAAGTTGCTAGGTTATCTTCAGGAGCAACTGTTGCTGCTGCTATTATTGAAGCTGAGAGTAGTCTTGAAATAGATGTATGTTTTCCTGCTTCAGGAGAGGCATTCTTTAGAACTAATATATGGGCTAACCTGTTACTGGGTATGAGCCTGGCAATGAATTAAATGCACTTTGTTATCTTGTAAAATCATTGTTATTCCAACTTCTAATGTTTTTACAATGAGCTGGTTATTTCCTCCATTCTTGTCTTATTATAGTATTCTTTTACCTTTCAGGTTGAAGATAATAAAGACGAATTGAAAACAAAATTGAAGGAGATACTTCGAGAGAAATCTGATGTATTCAACTCAAAAGACGCTGGAGAAGACAAGGTAAAACCTGGAGTTCTTACAGGTTTTTTCTAGTATTCTAGTTTTCCTGTGTTTGTGGTTGTGGTTTTATTTGTATTTAGTAACTAACAAATAATATGTAAATTATGCTGCCTGTGGATATTAGATCAAATCTTAGTGATTTAGTTATATTGCATGGGAGACTTTCCCATAGTGGCCTAGTGGTAGTGGGGGGGGGGGGGG